GGCAAAATATAAAGAACAGAATTTTGTATTATGTGACATAAAATAGCTGATCATGAAGATATAGACAACAGGAAGGAATGAGGTACCATGATCGTCAATGCCTGCTCCACACCTGACGAAACAATAATAATACTAATGAATAGCATTTGTACATCGCATACCGCTGCTCGACAGCAAGCTCTAAGCGCTTTACTCAATATCATTACCCCAGCAGACCACAGAACACTCCGAAACATTCTCAGCTTCCCGAGAAGCACAGAGTGCAAGCAGCTGCTAAAGCCCTCAAATACTAACAAACTGACAAGAAGAAGAAATAAAATACCCAACTTGACACAGAACAATTCATATTTCTACGGGAAAGAGCTTAACCTTCGAGCTAGCCTGCATCAACGGAAGAAGAGACGATAGTTTTTGGAGGTTTCTTTCCTGCTCTATCAGCATCTGACAAGACACACAGATGGCCGCTTCCAAGGTGGGACACTCTGGTCCCGGGCAGAACACAGGCCCAGTTTTATTTTTCTGAGCATAACATGATTCTATTTCCCACCATAATACATGGTATAACATGATTCTATTTCCCACCACAATACATAATATAACATGATTCAATTTCCCACCATAATACATGGTATAATATGAGATAAAAGATTCTATAACATAATACATGTTGGTGTAAAATGATTCTATTTCCAAACATAATACATGTTGGTGTAAAATGATTCTATTTCCAAACATAATACATGTTAATATAGCATGATTCAATTTCCTAACATAATACACGTTGGTGTAACATGATTCTATTTCCTGAGATCCATCCTTTATGCAATTTTAAAAAACATAACTTTTTTGAGCCACAGCCAATTTCAGGAAATGAAATATTAGGAATGTTACCCTAAATTATAAAATGTAATGCCGGTTGAATTTATACTCCTAAAATAAATGAGTGCCTGATAACTTCGGCGGAACAAGTCTTTTATTTTAAGCCAGTGGCTCATAATAAAGAGGGTAAAATAGCTTTGGGAATTTTCTTGTGCTGAAGTCAGTGATTGTCTTTCTCTCTTCTCTTCTCTCTCTCTCTCTCTCTTTTTTTTTGGTAAGTGTTTTACGGGGCTCGCAACTACATAAGGTCAAATAATGAGGCAGAAAGTGGAGACAAGAGCAGATGACAGAACATCATTAGAGCGCAGAAAAGGTGAAAGGAGAAAATTTTCTGTCGCTGTCAGGTATCGAACCCGGGACCAATTGAATGAGAAGCAAACGTTGTAACCTAGAAACCACGACAGCCCCTTGATGTGAGGTCAGTGAGTTCCTGTCCATTTCTGTCTGAAATGTGTACACATGCCAGTCTAACTTTTTGCCCTGAATCGAGCCTCAGACAATGCTGATAATGAAAAAAAAAAGTCAAAAAAGAGGAAAATATTCCGACCCAGTTGCAATCCCGAAATTTCAACATAGAACTCTACTATTAACTACAATAATAAAACACATACCTTCTGTGTAACAATATTTTGGAAACAACAAAAAAAGCCGAAATCCATGGAAAATTATCAGCACTGCTCAGACCTGGCAACCACTCCATGACCAAAAATAGGCGTTTTCTTCAACCACAAAAAAACCAACAAACAACACCCACACTTTAAAAAAACCACTCCCCCCCCCCCCCCCCCCCCCCAAAAGAAGAAGTACCTGTTTGTCCATCTGCCACGTCGTAGTCTAACCACTCCAGAACCAAGGGAAATGTGGGCAGCACGTAGTCGTGGTGGATAAATAGATTGCTCTGCTCAGCATTGTATACTGTGGAATATCATCAGTAAAAGAGTGTTCCATTTTGTCACAGAAAGATATGGAAATCTTACATTTATTTTTTCATCTGTTGATGGAGTTTTTGAAAAATATGGGACCCCACCCTCCTCAAATAAAACTATAAAAATGAACATGACTCTGCTTTGAGAGAATAAAGAATAAAAAAGGTTTCATTTAAATCAACAAAATACCTACAATACTACAAACTAGCTTTGCCAACAAAATGTTTGACGAATTTACTGTACGAAGGACAGATCAACAGCTTACTGTGTACTTCCAAGATCGCAGCCTCCTCTGTCACCCTGCCAAGAGCAATCAAGTTGTCAGAGGGTTTCAGTTCAAAATCTTCATCGTCACTGTCCGCCTGAAAAGTCATTGTGAAATGGATTTAATTCTCGACTACCACACAGTTATTCAACAAAAAATGTATGAACAGTCGGGGGAAATTTATGAACAGTCAGTGGGGGAAATATTTTAATAACCCCCCCCCCCCCATGGCTCCATTAAGTGAAGGTGTAAGATATCTGAGAACCCAACTGACTAAAACGGATTTATCCAATGATTTTATATCATAATATTGGTAGGAACTCTGATAACTGAATAATATTACAATAATGTCACTGCTGGAAGCTCGTTAACAAATAATTCCTTTCTCTATTAGAAAATTTAAAGTAAGTGGCACCTTTCAAAGTTTTGAGCCATAGTCTCTCCAGCTCGAATTAAAGTCTGATATCAATTTGAGTACATAAATAACAAATTTTGTGATGCGTTATTACTGGCAGTTATTTGAGTCACATGGAAAATGCCTCTCAAAACTTCCTTTTCTTTCGAAGGCATCAAAAGCTAGAATAATATTTCTTCAAATACATTTCTCCAGGAATGCCTGCCACCCCCCCAAAACAAAACAAAACTCAACCTTCCAACAATAAGAGGTTGTATGGTAAATAGGTGGCTCCAGAAAACTAAATCTTATCTAATCTAATAAAAGGCACGTCAACCTTACAAGAGACATTGAAAGCATTAACACAACCTGTGCTACAAGTACATCTTCCTACTGTGCACAAATAATAACAATAATAATTTTAAAAAAAACAAAAACAATAATAATAATAATAAAGTTACTTCTATAGCATCCCCTTCCCAGCTGCCCTAGGCATCTCAACACAAATTATTATAATTTCGCAAATTATTTAAATTTGTAATTAACAGGTGAAATAAATACATGCATAAAATAATCTAAAATGTGTACTGAAGTCAATGAATTGTAGAACAGGAGAAACTAACATCATCTTTTAGTGTTATGTATGGATCCTCCTCATTCGATGCAAACGGCGTCAGTCCTCCAATTCCTTGCAAAAAATCCATGGCTGTGAAAGGAGAACAAATGAAAACCATACACATGAAAAAAGGAGGAGAACAGTAATGATAACAACAAAAGGTGAGAAGGGAGGAAATTTCACAGCACCATGCAATATGTTTCAAAGTATATTCATGGTTATAAAATGCACAAGTTTATTTGAATACCGTTCCATCCACAAACTCTCCCCACCCCCCCCCCCTTATAAAAAAAACAATAAACAAAAAAATGCTCGAGGCAAAAATTAGACAAGTCTCCAATCGTATGATGACATAAATAATCATGAATCTGTTTTTATTTTCAAATTATGACAAGTATAAGATATAAAAACCAACCCCTTTAAAAAAAAACCTACGTGATTCATCATCATCATAGTCCTCCAACCCATATTTGTCCACTATATCATCCTCCTCCTCTTCCTCCCCTGCACGCTTCCTCTTTTCTGCTTTCTTGCTCTCAGCAGCAGCCTTCTTTTTAATAGAAGCAGCCATATTCTTCGCTTTCTGCACAGCCTTGGCAAATTCATCATTGTTTTCTCCTTCCTCTTTTTCAGGTGCAGAGGCTTCATCGAGAGCATCATCAGAATCATCCTCAACCCCATCCAATTTCCTATAACGACAGAAGAAAAAAACTTTTATACAATATGTAAACATTAAAAGAAAAGCAAACATTTTTAATTAACATCAACATGTCAGAAGTATTGAAGTAAAAATAGAGTGAAACATGACCGTACACGTACTCTGCCTTTAAAAATACAAATTATCTTAAATTTACAACACACACACACACAAAAAACAACAAGAGGAAGAATTAAAAAAAAACACTTGTCAACTATCAAAACCTGGCCAACAAACTGATGAATACTTTTATCAGCTATCAAGAGCTATAAAGTCATGGCAAGCTTCTGGATTCACAATATGGTACAAACAAGTACAGTGGGCAAGTCAGAATTTCCTTTTCTGCAGTCTTCTTTTATTCTTACAGTGAAACTCAGATATAGCGTAGTTGTCAGGCTAGAGGTTTAATTGCATTGAATCCGAGTGTTCACTTTTGTGGTAGCAACGTGAGCAACAAGTTACATTGCAATGTAGGGCATAGAACAACGCGCAATTCATTATGTAGTTCTACGTCTAGCCTGGCCTATCCTCGATCAGTACCCAGAGGAAGGGGATATGACTGTGAAGTGTCTGCGCCTCTGCCGACGTTCCACACCCGGAAAACTTGTGCCTATGCTCCCAGCAATCCCCCCCCCCGACACATATGCAGTAGCCTAACAGTAACAGCCACATGTGTGCTGCTGACCAGCTGTCCTCTCCTGACTCCGGCACACTCAACAACATGTCATGTCTCACATGCACATCAACAACAATGCAAGTGTTGTTGTGAAAGAAGGCTTCTGTTTGGTCACTGCACATAAGATGTACGCAATAGAGAAATAATCCACAGTGCAGATGCGACTGATGGTCTCTTGGAGTAGAGTAGATAAATTCGTTGCCAGGGAAAAAAATGTGTGAAGCCACACCAGCAGCAGCTATTCGTCTGGCAAGCGACTTCATTGAATCTGAGTTTGCTCATTTATGTACTTCATTGAATCTGAGTTGTTTTCTTTATTTTAATAATTTAAAAAAATACAGGGTAGAATCCGAGCTTGTTGTATTCGAATTTCACTATGTAAAGAACAATTTTAAAAGCCCTTCTTTGTCTCCGACTATTAACAGCTTCATACCTAACCCTTGGCATTTCCTCTGTACCAATTCTTTTTATTTCAATGTTTTACTTCTCAATTCTGAATATGCTCTGCCATCTCAATCCAAACAAATCATTTCATGAAATATTAGAAAATTTGAATGCTAAACATATAATAAGGAGCTTTGTTCCAAACCTTATAGCCACTGAAGGTACATCGCTCCTCTCTTTACAAATGTGTTTGCTATCTGCCTAGAACCACATTTTCGGCGATTGTCAATCAATGGTCACTCGCCAGAACCAAACAGTCAAATATATTATTCAAACCAGTTGAAACAGGCAGTTCTATCGCTTGCCATCACCTTGTAGACCTGCATGTGAGCCTCAACCAGATTGTCTGAAAATTTTGCGCACCCCCCCCCCAAAGCCTTTGTAGGTGTCATAAGGAAGGACTATCCGAGTAACGAGCGACCACCCCAACAAACACAATAATATAAAGAAGAGACCTAACCCTACCCCCAAAAAGAACCTGCAACGGGCCTCATGTAATAAGGCCAAAACAAGTCCGAAATGAAAAAAAAAAAATCAAAATTAAATTTATATTCTAGATCTAGATCTAGAATCTATATGGTTAACATCTACATTGCTTTTGGGTTTGATACAATAACACAACAGAATTGGAATATGAATACTCAATATAGATCTAGTAATCTAAATAAATCTAGATTTAGATCTAGATCTAGATCTACATCTTGTAGAACAAGTGAATAGGAATAGGCCTTGAACTAGAAATCCGCATCCGATTCCGAACAGACGGACTCAGCTGAGTCTAGATTCTAGATCTAGATCTAGATATAGATATAGATATAGATTCTAGATTTAGATAAATAAATAATACACGCACCTGATGAAATGCTTATTTTTACCAATATTAATATTACAGCACAACCTATGAAAGGGTTTGACACAATAGAATTGGAATATGAATCCTCCATTGAGGTCTATAATGATCTATATAAATCTAGATCTTGATCTAGATTCTATTAGAACAAGAGAGTCGGACTTGAATGAATCCACACGATCTGAACAATTAAATTAGTCAACAAACGAAATTCAAAATGGCAGCTCGAGCACGAAACTGAAAGTAGATAATTTAGGTTGTCGTCCTTTTTCGTGTTCGCATTTCTACTCAGGTTCCGACAATTATGTCGGAAACGCCGACGTTGGCAGTCGGCGGTGAGCGCGTCGGCGGTCGGCACGAAAACGAAAGTGCCGACGAAGCCGACGGGAGAAAAAGGGGTCGCTGGCAGTCGGCCAGGCCTCGCACTACGCACATTGACTGATACAGGCGGGCCTAGCGATAGCATCGGCCGGTTCGCGGGTCGGGTCGCGATTGTCGGATTTCAGACGATTGTCGGCAAACATGCAGGTCTAACCTTGTATTCCCCACACAATGAAAAATCAAATGATGAGTACTCACTCCTGAGTTCTCTGTATAATCTTTTTCAGTTCATCTTTGTCTAGTGAAACCTGAAAAAGACAAAAACAAAATAAAAGCAAATAATCATAAAATATCTGGCATCAACCATTTTGGAAAAAAAAAAAATGAGTAAAAAATAAGCCTTATTTTCAAATACAGAAGGAAGTATAATCATAGTTTTATTTTTCTTTCAAATACAAAACTTATCAGAAGTATCAAAATTTGACCACCTCAAAATGACAACTTGCTCTCTGAAATTTTACTACTTTGGCTGAAACAATCAAACACAGTAAAAGCTCTGAATTTATGGTGACCCTGGCCCATTTTGTGTCTACTACAATCTTAGCAGAGCACACCATACTGATGGCAGGGCCCAACCCAGAGCGGCATTCTCTAAAAGTTCTACTGTTTTTCAAGGATGGAAAAGAAGCATTCCAGCTCAGCTATGGTCATCTTTGAGAATGGCTCACTGATTTATGCATTGTTTTCTCTTCAACATGGTCAGCTTGCTTAAAAATCTGTCCACGTGCATTTCCACTAAGGAAGTGCTCAAAGCGTTTTACAATAATACTTGTAAGGAACACACAAGCACCGTATAGTTCTAACAACAATCGTTTCTCTCCAATTTTCGTCGTCTCTCTCCCTCTGCAACAAAATTGTTTTTAAAATAAAAAATTGCACACATACACACACACATCAATTTCGATGTATGCAGTATGCAGCCATTTGATACAGTTTAGCATGAACAACAGAGATGTGCACTGAAAGAAACATTATGTGTATTGGGAATGTCAGTCATTACTGATTAAAGTTTAAGCTGGCTTAAAAGAAATGCCTTTTAGGTTAGGCGCTGATTTGAATTTTGATTTTCATGGTAGTAGAGGTGGTGGTGGTAAAGAGTTCCTCAGTTAAGGGGGCATGGTAAGAAAATTGCTTTACCCCCAAGTCTCTGACTTTTACTTTGAACAGGTTATAAAAGTCTTCTTTTTTTTTCTCTCTGACCTCAAAGGCTGCGATGGTACATGATAAGATGACCCTCCTTATTTTAAAATAATGATTTTGTTTCTTTTAACCTGATTTTGTGTCTACAATCCTGTCTAGTCATAGAATAGCTTGATGTTTAACTTATCTCGGAGGTCCCATGTGCAAGTTGCGCACGTTAAAGATCCCTTGGCGGTCCAAAATCGATATAAGAGTAGGCTTCGGCCGCCACCCGGACAAAATTCAAAATTTCCTACCAACTGAAAATGTTTGGCGTGTCCCGCACGCTCATATTATTTGACCTTAGGCTCTGGCCACACTGCAAGCAGAGCGGGCACAGCAGAGCGGAGTGGGCGGTGCAATGCAAAGTCATGTGGCATTATATTTTCCTATCCATGGATAGGAAATGATTGACGTTATTTGTCTTGGTCGATGAGGAGACCCAACAGAAAAGAGCAAGAAAGGAATGGGTGAAAGAGAGAGTGAGAGAGCAAGAGAGAGAGAGAGAGAGAGAGAGGGGGGGAGAGAGAGAGAGAGAGACAGACAGACAGAGAGATGGAAAGAGTTAGCGAAAGGAAGGCGCTTCTAAGGCTTTTATGTCACGCCGTTCAATAGCCGTTTGACTGTTTACCGACGCGGCGCCGGAGAATAGCCACTTGCAAAGAAGAATTTAAATGCAAAATATTAGGAAATTGACCTAGATCTGTATACCATTTCCTTTCAAACCCCGGAATGTGTGTAACTACTCGTTATGACTTTTATCATTATCAACTTATGAGAGGGGGTTAGATCTATAACTTATTCCTGTGCTTGTAACATTATGAATAGAAAGGTAAAGATAGAGCCTTGTTTTCAGACTAGACACCACTTCGACACTTCACTCGGAACTCGGAGGCAATTGATGAACTATCTTACAACAAAACATCAGCAGCATGCATACAACACTAACAGTAACAAAAACCACTAGATCTAGGGGCAACAACAACAAAAAAAAACCCCAGCCGCGACTGTCTTTGTAATTTTGTTTGTCTGTTAGTTTGGTGTGTGTGTGTGTGTGTGCATCATATAATGATGGGCGCTTTTTCGGTAGCTCCCACCCCGAATTTTACCACAATTTAATGTTTTGCAGTTGTTAGGTTTGATATCTTAGCTTGCTGCGAATCAAACGTATATAGATCTAGATGTAGGTCAGGCTAATCAAATAAGGGGGGTGGGAACTACCGAAAAAGCACCTAATGATGTGAGTGTGGTGTGTGTGTAAGACCACAAGAGTCAAGAGTAGAGTGCGTTTGAGCCGTTTGTGTGTTTGTAGTTTGTTGAGTGTCAGTGTAGGCAATGTAAGTGTGTGTGTATTGTATTTGTACGTGTGCGCATGTGTATGTGTGTATTTGTATGTGTTTGTGGGTGTGTGTGCATGTGTGTGTTTTTCTTTTTTTTCTTAATTAATTTTTAAAAAATTTTGGGTCAGTCACTCTACTCTGTCGTACGTAATTAAAGTTAGACTCTAGATCTAGATCTAGATTCTAGATCTAGATCTATATCTAGATTTCTAGATATCTAGATTCTAGATCTACCAATAAAAATACCTTGTCAGGTTTCTGTTTGGCGCAGCCCTGCTTTACCCATAAAAGACAAGGCACTATGTTCTTGCTATTCTTTTCAGACATGGTCGTTATTTTTGGGCGAAATCATAACCTCAACCTGAACTTCGCCGATTATAATACAGTACGGTGAAGCTTCTCCTTTTGACCAGCGTGTGAGAGGTTTATCAACACTTGCGTTTTGCAGTTTTCTTTCAGAGTGCGTTCCCCTGAATTATTCATACAAATTTGCTATCTGACACGGGACTCAATTTCATTTACAAAACAAATAATTAAAAGGAGTGCATGCGACCCACATCTTGTCTTTGATTTTGCTTTAAAAAAAACAACCTCTTATAATTTTTTTAAAAGAAAAAGTGGATGAGTATGCTAGTAACAGCATGAAACGTCAGTGCTCCTGGTGTACGATTCCTTGTGTTTCCAGGTCACGTGCAACCAAAATTTTATCAATCAGTTCTAAATCTGTCATACTGACATCATGTGCATGGAATAAATGATCATGTGATATGGGTCACATGATCAACTATTAGCAAACAAAGAGTGGAAAATAGATCTCTCTATAATCTCTTATCTTGATCAGTATCACTAGTATCAGCCAACTGAACCCCAAGTGAATGTATGCCGATGTAACTTGACTCAAAACAAGTAGCCTACGGCAATTAGAAGATCTAGATCTAGATCTAGTACACAGGCACATCTGCAACTTCAACTGTATGCTGTAGATCTACTCAGACTACTGTGTGATTATTGTGTGGATATATTTATATATATTGTTAAAGTTCTATTAATTGTTGTGCTCTGATTTCAGTTGTCACCGGCAGTCATATAATTTGAGTCATAACATTTTTAACGTGTCGTGTGTGTACTGTGTGTGAGACTGTGTGTGTGTGGGTGGGTCTAAAAAACAAAAACGGGGGTCAGAAGCTTCCTGGAGATATTACAATAGTATGCTATTATTATTTTTCGTGTAGGCATTCGCTTTTACTTTCCCTCCCGTCTCACACTTGACGAGTCTTATTATTATATTATAGTTGTAGTAGAGATCCATTTTCTGCTACAGTACAGGAACATGCGCTAAACACGAATATCTACTTATCTTTACGTTGCAAAGTAATAGTTATTGAAATATTTGAAGGTACTTCAAACTTTGTTACACTAAGCCTACTTGCGCAGTAATTTCCAGGCTTTAGTTTAGACCAATGGGGGGGTTGACATAATTTTGATATTTGGAAATTTTCTTGAAAATAATTTATTTGCGACAGTTTTATAGTAGCTAAATCTCTAGATCTCTAGATCTAGATCTGTATTATTTATGTGTGATCTGCAGCAAAAAAAATACTACTGTTTAACCCTCAAAGTAATGCATCTGTTGTGTGCTGGAGTGATGTAAAAATTTACCTTCGTGTACATATAGTATAGATCTAAATATAATTATATGTAGCATACTTTATTATGTATACCTTATCTGCCACTTAGACTTAAATACCATGTTAACCGTGAAGGTGTCAGTGGGAAGTTTGAGAGATGTGTTGAGGTCTTTGAAAATTTTGCAAGCCTGGAGCTAGAAATTGTCAACTTCCATTTTTAATTTTAAGTTTAAGGCATTTAAGGTGTCCTCTTTATACTTTCTTTAGATCTACTCTCTTTTCCCACTTTGATCTCAACTTTTCACTCTTGGTTGATCGGCTGTCCTGCCCGGGTTTTTGTTCCGCAAATTAAGGTCTGAAATGTGGGATCTTAGCCGAATGTAGACCTTCAGAGTGAATCAGAGCGGGATCTTAAGGGTGACTTTTGTATTGTAAAAATTCTGTTTTCTTTAATCAGCGGAATCTTAAGCGAACTGGGATCGTAAGCGGTGGGATCTTTGGCGGAGACTACTGTACTTGCTTTGTGTGGGTGGGTCAGGGGTGGTGTAGTTGACATTGTTCACGTGTGGAATTCTCGTCTCGATCACTCTGCCTAATTTCCCATTGTTAGTCTAAAATAATGCTATGGAGATACTTGAATTCATTTTAACTTGTCTGTGAGTTGGTTAACTATTGATGGTGACGCTGAGGTTGATTGGTGTTCAGCTGATTCTCGAAACTTCTGTCGTCCTGCTTGTAAGGACCTTCATACAAGCTTCATGTAGGCTGTTATGTTGTTGAGTTGATCAGTGCCACTGTGCACCATGCTTTAACTGTCTGGAAAGAGCAGCTTGTTCAGCTCACTTAATTGGATCCATAGACCATACAGTTAAGCACTGATAATCCAAACCTAAAAACTCGAATACATACACATGGATAGCTTGAATAATATATATGCCATTCCTCAACTGAACCATAACAATATCATTGTATTGAATTGGCAACACTGCTTTCTTTAACAATGATTAACAACCCCACAGATGTATCGAATAGCTTATCTTAGAGAACCTAATGGATAACATTTTTCCTCGCCATTGTCTCAAATTCAAACCACCCTGTGCACATGACGGAAAACATGCACTCATCATCATTGAGAGTGTCAGGTTACCTGAGCCCACCAAGCCCGCACTGATGCAGTATGATCTTATGCTTACAGTAGGGTTCAACAATGTAAAATTCAAAATTGAAGCTCAATCCAAAAGAAATGACCACAAAAACTTGTTTGCTTTTAAGAAGGTTTCTACTCTGTATTATGCCCTATACTTTAAACACAACTTCTTCCTCCCACTTCCAACAGTAGAGAATATCATAACCATGTTAAGACAAGTGCAAATGTAATGAATGAATGTGTGATGAATATTTGGGTATAATTCAAGTTTTTAGAACAGTAAGGTGCCTTGCTTTCTGATTAATGTAATTTATGTTGACTCTTACTCTCTTCTTTAAGGTGTTGAGGACGTTTCAGTGCTTTACTCCGAGAAGACACACAATGGGGTCCTACGGCTTGGTGGTCGTTGCCCTACTCTTCCTGACAGAATTTGACAAGTTGTTGGTGGGTGCCGAACCTTTCAACATAGTTGCTGACTCTGGAAACAGTTTGAAATTTCAGCAAGAAAATACTCAAGGTGATCAGATTTCTCAAAAGCTCATGAGGGAATCGCATGTTAGTGAGAAACAGGGGTCATGTGACTGTGACAACGATGTGTCCCTGAAGTGGGAATCCGGTTCCTGTAAATCCGTGCCCAGCAATGATATACCTTTGCATGTGAATGGTATTTTCCCAAGCATAACGGCGACAGCGAGCAGTGGGCCCAAGCGCTCTGAGTGTGGCACAGGTGCGCTGATGCCGTGGGCAGACAAACTCTACATGGTTTCATACCTGTCGGTGCCAGAGGGCGGGAATGGCACTGGACTATACGAAATTGATGAAAATTTCAAGGTAAGTTACAATTTAAAGTATTTGTATATAATGTGTGGTCCTCTGCGTTCATGGAAACTGTTGTTGATTGTGCACCTGTGGGTGACATGTGTGCTTGTTGTTGTGATCTTCCAAAGTTTGAGTGAGAGTGTCTTTGGAAATTATAAATTTGCCTTTGTTCATGCTTTGGATCTATGTTTTTCTGTAACATCCAAACAAAAAAAGTGGGCATAAGAGGAGCTGAGCTTACAAAAAGTAAGATAAAAATTGCCCAAAGGACTGAAAAGTGTGGGTGGTTGGCGGGTGCTGTGGTGTGGTTTCCTCCTTCTTTCCTATCAAACATCTATTGTCCTGATCTCTCCTCCCTTCTTTATTGTATTTGTTACTTTCTTGTAACACATCTACTTTTCGGCACTTATGTGACCTTATTGTGTTGCAAGTGCCATAAAACTCTTACTAAAACTATTTTTTTTAAAGACAGAAAAGTGTCAGTTTCTTCAATATATATGATTATTTTGACGATTGCCTAATTTTATCATAATACCACAATTATTGAGAGGGAAACAAGCATCTCTATGGATGAATGCATCCTATCATCTAACAAAACTGTAATAAATTCCTGTAAACCCTTTTATGATGCACATTTTTAAAAAGAACTTTTATTGCATCCAATTTTTGCAAGCTACGTCAAAGCGGTTTCCAATCATCACACAGTTTCCTTCAAAATTAAAGATGTATGTTATAAGTCAATTTTCATTGTCATAGATTTCAAATAGATTTTTTAATCAGTGTTCCAGTAAAATTCTGTTCCAAACTCTTGCTGTGCAGTTATAAAATCCTGTATGTCTTATGGTTCATATGATTGTGTGTTCACTTGATTGGTGAACAATGTCTATTTGATAAAATTTGCATTCTGTCCTCAGATGACAAAACTCAGAGAACACAATGCCACTTTTGCCAATCGCCTTCTGCACAGACAAACAAATCAGATCATTATTGGAGCATGGGCTATTGACATGCAGGGCAATATCAATACTTTTAGTGGCTTACTAAAAGTTCGAGTTGCAGCAACTGCTGAACACCTTACAAGCGCAGCAACTTCTGTAAGTTTGTTTCAATTTAATCTCTTTCCTATTAATTTTTTTTTTTTAATTACTATTTTATGGATCCCAGAAGGGCAATTTTATGTACAATGGCCTACATACATATAGATAAATACATAATTATAAATACATACCTACAAAAATGCATACACATATTATATAATACACAATATTGCACGAATGCAGAACAATTTCACTACCATGCCATTGCTGGCTGCCACTGTGTTTATGGGGCAAGAAAGTAGAAAGATATTTTCCTAGAATTGTAGTAGGATTTCTACGTAATGTTTGTGTCACGACGCGGTGGAATCAGGCGCGGTATTGGTATCATCTTAAAGCCTGTCCATTTACCTTGCTTTTGATGAAAATAATACCCATTCATCTTGGATACAAGTCAAAACATTTGCGATTGAAAGAGGGGGTGTCGCCTGGTTTCAGAGGTAAAATTGGCGAGAAAAATTACTGCCGAAGTTTTGTTATTTCCTTAGCTTGAGAGCTGGTGGGAACTGAGAATTTACATCTTTTATGCATTTAATTGTTTTTGAATAAAAATCCACACTGAAATGTGTTTTTAATGGGCATAAAAGGCGTTGAGCCGAAAAACAAAAATTTGCTAAAAATTTCCAAACCTACAGAAAAATGCCAGTTTCTTCACTTTCATTATTTTTATGAACGCCTGATTTCTCCACGCTGCTTCTCATTTTATAGCCGTTGTATTTAAAGAAAGCTTCTGCTGAAGCTCTTGATGAAGGACACACACAAGTTTCATTTCAAGTAGGAATGGGTACCCAGCTATAGATGGCAAAAGATCTTGTTGGTTTGTTAGTGTTTGAGTGCTTAATCGGCTACTTGCGCTATATGCTCTCCGAAAAGCCAAGAATGTTTACCGAGTGTTTTCGAGTCCTCTGGGATACTAGTAATAATAGTTAGTTATTAAATGCATAGAGCAAACTGTAGAGCATGGAAATGCATTATTTAAATGCAATTATTATTTTTATTATTTGCTCCATGCCAAGAGGGCTGGACAGAAGACAATGTAATTACGTTGTTAAAATACAACATCCACATATGAAAGGAATTTGTAAGTAGCACAATGGGAGGTTCACATTCCTTGTTGATGGGATAACAGGATATCAGGGTTGGTTTTTTTTTAATTTAGAGGACGGTAATCCATCCACTAAAGATAATTTAGGCTCAGATTTCTCCGTCCCTCATCAGCTTCAGCAGTATCCGTCCCGCTAAACCCGTGGGCACAAGGCCGAGGAGAAGTCGGGAACAGATACTACACTTTGATTTTAGCCAAAAGGCCGAGAAGCGATATAACAGGATATCCTAATTAGAGTTAGCTATGAGCATTTACAGTTTGACTTGAAAGATTTTTTAAAGAAAAGATTTTCATGTATTTAACTACGTGATGGTCCTTTCATGTATTTTTGTCTGCTTGTTCAGGTTTACATGCTTGGAATGGATGGACCGTTGTGGGAATGCAATGTTGTCACTTACAGTTGTAAACAGCTGTTTGATCTTGTCAAAGAATTGAAGATTCCGGCGTCAGTTGGCGAGCAGCCTCATTTTAAAGCAGCGCACACAATGAATGGTCGACTGGTTGTAACAAGCAATACATTTGAAGAGGCAGATTATATTGGGTATGTTGAAAAGGCAGCTGAGCTAGCTGAGGTGTTCGAGACCTTTATGTTTTCTGTATCTTTGGGATATTGATTTGTACAGAACAATACTGACATTTTATTGTCTCCTTGCTTTGCATTTTCAGTGTTGCCATTTTGTTACATGCGTTATTTCTCAATTTTTTTCTCTCTTGACAGAAATTGTGGTCAAGATTTTTTAGGTTTTTGAAAACCCAAAGCATTAAAAAAATGTTTCTAATATATAGAAATACGATGCTGCTGAAACAGCTTTGCTTGATTCCTGACACGAACGAAGTATGAAGAGCTATTCTTTTAACCATAGTTTCTGAGTAAAAAATAGGAGTATAGAAATAGCACCCCAACCCTTTCAACCGAAAGATGAATGAAGCGGTCACTAGTGTCTTGACAGATGAAGAAGGAATGGTGTATCGTGTCCACTCTGAGTTTGTTTATTTGTTTGAGTAAAGAGAAACATGTCAACGCGATCAATTTCATTTAATGCAGGGAAAAGCAAAGAAGAAAGATAGTCGTAACATGGGGAAAGAAAAGAAATAGGGACAAGTGCACCCTCCAACCACTTGCGGGTATACTCTGAAAGCGTTTTGCATAATTCGTTCTGTTCTGAATTCAAGAAATTATACATTTCCTATTCTTTCTCTAACATTATTATTATTAGGGTCATTCCCCACCCTGTTTTTAAATTATTTTTTTCCTGTTATTGTAACGTCTCTGGTTGACTTACAATAAAATGTTGCTTTTCAGTTTTGTCGTTTTCTCGGTCTTGCCTGCTACAGTAAGCTTCTGTTTATTGAAGTCTTTACATCTTTTCACACCTTTCATATCATGCGCTCATTTTTCAAATCTTTTTTTGTCTTTTGTTTATTTATTTTCTTCTCCCATTTCATCTGTACACTGTGGGTGGTTGGCCGGTGCTCTGGTGTGGCTGGCTCCTTCCTTCCTATCATTGCAAACATCTATCTTCCTCATCTCTCCTTTTTCTTTTCTTTGTATGTTACTCTCTAGTAACGCTTCTAATATTTGGCTCTTATGTAAACTATTTGTGTTGCAAGTGCTGTAAAACTCGCTGAAATTAAACTAATCCATACACTTTTATTTGTCTTATGTAGATGTATATTCCTTCTACTTCATGCAGACTTTACCACGGTGGACGTCTAGCAGAGTGGAAGGGCCCGGGTTCTAACTGGACCATTCTAGAGGAGACTGCTTTTGTTGAAGTTACAGGACGAAGGAACTTTGGGCGGGTGATGTATGCCTTGGGCTGGGATTATCGGTCAGTCATCCTGAAAGTTTTTGATGGCAGGAACCCAGGTTGGAGTTCTTAATTTCTTTTGGTGAATTTTTTGTTCTGTGAAGTGACTTCATGATTAACTTAACCGTTTTACACCATGGCCTTCTCAACCCAGTGGCGTCACGTGGGTTGCGGACTAGGTGGTGCATAATTGGAAAGTGAGCAAATGGGCAATAGGCTTAGTAGCTACTATTAAGATTTCTACAGAAAGTCAATTAGAATCTGCAGGATATCCAGTAATCTACATCTTTCGATATTATTTGCAATACTGTTTCTAGATGAAACCCACGGCGTCCGAAATTCCGTCTCAGCGATCTTTTAGTTAGTCCGGGCCCACCGCGGTAGGACATAAATTAGCGGCAGGTGACCTGCAATTTCACGCGTCAAGACCGGGGTCAACTCGTGCACAGCGCTGTCCTATCTTGTCCTTATCAGAACGCGTTTCTTTCCCTAATTTCATGAGCCGTAAAATGATGCTCACTCTAAGCCTAGAATCAATTTCTTCACCAATTCCGCTTCGTCTACGTCTTCTTGATATCTTGTGAAAGTTTCAACAGCTTTCATAGATTCGTTTGGGAATAATAACAGTTTTAAATTGTGAGTGTTAAGTGATCGGAAGCGCCGTTAATAATGTGATCTCTTCAAATTTAATTACAAATCATTCGAGAATGGAACGATGGTCTTTATTTCTGTTTGCGCGGTGTGATAGCCATCAAATCATATTTTCTAATGATGTGAATTTTGTTTTTCCAGCACTTTGCGGTGACCGGCAATCAGTTAGTGAATTGTGTTCCTAGGTAAAAATTGTTAAACTGCAATGGGCCAGTCACACATATGAGAGGCATATATAGAGTCTCTGAATGAACTTGGTCGTGTGTGTTGGCGTATAAATTTAACTGTCAAACAAAACAAGTACAGAAAGCCCCGACTATGTAAGACAATGGCATGATATATTCTCTTGGTTTATGGGATTGATGTGAGGGACGAAAATGAACAGTCGTATTCCGCTAACATTTGTGTCAAGTGTTTTACCGCGATTTCAACTATCAAAAGGAAATATGGTGTTACGTCACGTCAATTCATGCCGCAAAAAAAGCAGTTGACACTAGTAGGAACATGTGGTGTGCGTTTGACAATATGTGAATTCCTTCTCCGTTTTGTCGGTACCGCTTAGGTGGCTGCATACAGAGATCCATTTCAAGCTAACATCGTAAAACACCCCAAGCATACCTCCCTCCATCCCCATGTATGCAAGGAACTAACAAACACAATTTGTACAGAAACAAGAAAATACTCCCGCGAAACTGCAAAAATTGAGGAAGCAAGTGGACTGGAAGCAATATTCAATCTTCTCAATGAAAGATTTAGCCATGTTTATACTGCAATATCACATCTCAAACCAATCAAACAATTTTCACTTCCACAAATCTTCGTAGCAATCGACAATTACATGTCCGCATTCAGACGCTATTTCCCCACAAAGTTATCCCAAAGCAACACATAGCAACACTGTATTCCACACATACAACAACACATGTTTGCTCTCGGGCTTTTAGGAGAACAGGACATAGAAATCAGCCACCAAGCGATCTCAAAACTGGAAGCCAGAGTACGGAGGATCCCAAACCAGATAGACACAATGCGTTTTATTTTTTGTGTCGCATCTCCTGCAAATAGATCCCTCATTGCGTGCTGCTGGATATTTTTAGAAAGAAAAATTGTTTAAATTTATAGTTTTATTCTGTACATGTTCATTTTGTGAAAAGAAATCGGTGCTGTATATTGAAGATACGTCAGTATATCATTATTCAGGAGGATACACAATCCATAGGATACAAAAAGTCATGAATGCAGGGAAGCGTTTTGGCTATCATGCTCATGACAAGTTCCATGTTCGTGCTGGAAACAAAATTTTGAGTGAGTCAATTTCTAAACACATTTTCCTGTCTTACGTGGCAGCTTTGTAAATATTTATCGTTAGGCTTATAAGTTATTAGCCATTTAATATGTGTTTGTTGTTTTGACTAACTATAAATAGACATACATTTTAAGAGCATCTAACTCCAAAACGTGAGCAGCCATGGTATTGCTATTTCGTACCAATAAAGAGGTTTAGTTGCTTTCTCTAAAGAACAAACTTGTGTTCCCGTATGATATTTTTTGTTTGTGTAAGACGATAAAACATGTGTTGAAAAATTCATTTCACCGGCTACCGACGCAGGTAGCGGGAGGGCGGGTTAGTGACCTCTGGGTGACCGGCCCGCCGTGACCCGGTCACTCCATCGCCGATTCAACTAAAAGAGCGCTGTTTGTACGCCGTGAACCGCATGAAAGCTGCAATAAAGTGAAACAATACTAGATCTAACAACTCACTAAGCTCACAATCTGAGAAGTTTTAAAGATTTCTAATTACTTCGTGCTGCACCAGGACTTGCTACACAATAGAGGGAGACAACAGTTTCGATACCCATTCTTCATTAAGTTACCGTAGACTCTACTAGTGAAGTAGATCGGCTCGCGGAAACTTAGATCAAATTTTTAATTTGCACCGAATTGGTGCTGCGAAGAGCAGTTTCTTCATGCACCTTTCTTCTTGTGCGGGAAGAACAATGCCTAGATATCTCTACAGTGACAAAAATAACTTTGGTGCAAAGATTTTGCTTGCTCCCAGCAGACACTACCGCAAGCGGTGCGACGAGCATAAACCATCCTCGCCGTCTGTCTCTTCACTGGCTCAGCCAGCAGGTGACGGATGGCAAGGATGTACATGTAGGCTAGTAGGCCTAATAATATCTAGGCCTAATGTAGATCTACAGCTCTGACTGGTTTAGAACAATTAGAAGAAAAAAAAAGGGGGGGGGGGGGAAGGCCAGGGTTAGGTGGAGCGCTTGCACCAATTGCACCAATGACGCCCTGCCACCGCCTCAACCTAGGATTCTCCCAGTAAGCAGGAGCCTACTCAGTAGGAGAAATTCCCCCCACACACATCATTGTCGGGTGTTTTTATAAATTCATTAAAGACATATTTTTAACTCTATCTCCATTGTGGGGGTGTGGGGGGGAGGGTAAACCCACTATGCCGGGGCCCTTTTTTGGTACCAAATCTAAAAAGGACAAAAACGCCACTATATTGGTCATTAAATCAAAACAAGCTAACCCGTTTTGATAGGTCTTCATCTAATGAATAAAATCCGAATAAAAGAGACCTATTTTGATATTGACATTGTTGTAAAGGAATGTGCCCGAGCCGCTGTCAGCAGCTCACCGGCACAACGGTTCGACTGCGAGCCGCTTGGAACGGCTTGCCGGAGATAAAGAGTTAGGGTATTGCTGTAACTGTGGTACCTATTGAAAACTCTTTTTATGTTGTAAACAGTGATACAAAGTCTTAGTATATATATATATATATATATATACATATGACATTTGTATAAAAGGTTAGTTAAAACAACTGAAAAAAACCAAAAACATGAATGATGGTACTTATGCAGTTGCAAGCGCCGTAAAACCCCATACTAAACTAAAAAATGATGGTACAAAATGAAAAAGGCAGCATCATGACTAGCAAGGCCATATCAAATAATAGGTCCATATCGCTCTCCTCAACTTCTTGTCTGAATTCTCTATTATTTAGGATATATTTACTTATGAATCTGTAATCAGGAACTTCTTACGAGACTTCATTTTTTGGTGAGAGAGGAATAGAAAAGTGGAAGAGAGCCATACCTTTATGAACAAAATTATTCCATTAAAAGCTTTTTTTTTATCATTAGCATAAAGTAATGAAAGATTATATCATGTATATTTTATGGTTTCAACTACGCGTTTTTGCCAAAATTATGTGGTGTGACATGTTACAAATCTGTGCAATGTGAGCAGAATGAGCCAGAGAGTTGTAGCACAATGCGTTCCACGTGTTTGGCTGTTTGGTGTATTTGGTTGCTCAGAGTGTCGGGGTAATGTGAAAAGATTTAACACTTACAGGTCCGACTTTGGTCGCCAGGCCGTAGTTTGCGCTCATTACCGCTGGCGACTTTAATCGACAACTCAACCAGGCACACTAGATATATTTAAATAATGAACTGAAGTAAATACCAAAGGCAGTCACTCTATATGATAGCTAAATGGTTGATGAACCTCTGTGAATTTTTTAAGCGTGTTTCTTGGGCTGCAAAGGCTTTTTTAATAAAAAAAAAATTCTATCCAGGCTTCAGCGTTCTAAACTGGTGCGGTACTTGAGGGTTTTCCCCTATATGAGCCTTCGGTACTGTAAGTGTTAATCTATCATCCCCTCAATGGTTTTTATTCAAACTAACTTCCCCTCAATGGTTTTTATTCAATCTATCATCCCCTCAATGGTTTTTATTCAATCTATCATCCCCTCAATGGTTTTTATTCAAACTAACTTCCCCTCAATGGTTTTTATTCAATCTATCATCCCCTCAATGGTTTTTATTCAATCTATCATCCCCTCAATGGTTTTTATTCAAACTAACTTCCCCTCAATGGTTTTTATTCAATCTATCATCCCCTCAATGGTTTTTATTCAATCTATCATCCCCTCAATGGTTTTTATTCAATCTATCATCCCCTCAATGGTTTTTATTCCAATAGCTGTTCTTTTTATCTATCAGAATAATGGTTTTGACTTTATCTGATTGTTTTCTAGTGTTCATGACTGACTCAATGTCGGTTCTGTATGGGAGATAGCGGATGAACAAGACTGGTTTATCTTTTGAATGGCTGATCCAAACACTGGTACTCCAACAATGTCTGAAAGATTACAATCAGTTAAGGTTGATTAAGCAGTGTACTTGTTTGTCAAATCATATTGATTGTTGAATGTGCATGAGAGGAAAACATGACTTATCTGTCGACTGTTTTTTACTCCACTCAGGTTGTTTTTGTTTGGGTTATTTTTTTGTTCACATTGAAAACAGCTTTTTTTCCCTCTTTCTGGGTGTAATGCTCTAACCTTGTAGCTTGGAGAAATAGGTTAACTCTTTATCCTTTTCTGAGGTCATCCTGTAGTCCTTAATAAGAAAAAAACAACAACCCAGAAGTCAGCATGTGCTGTAAATAGATCAAAAAGTACTTACGGCTAAATTATGTGTTGTCTGTCATCATCTTAACCAGAAGGGCTTTTTTCTTTTAAGGTTGAACATTTTTCAAGTGGTTTCCCATTTAGCTTTGATATCATCATCATCATCATCATATCATCATCATTGTATTTGTCGTCATCATCATTCAGTCATTGTCGTTGTCATCATCATCATCATTATGTCAAGTGTGGAAAAATACATGCAGATGTTAATTCAGAATTTGAAATAATTGATAAAGATAAAATACAAATCTCAGTAGAGATAGAGAAGTGCCCATGGTAACTGTGTGTTGAAATAGGGAAGTTAATAGTGCAATGAGGATGAGTTCTTTTCTTGATTCGATTTGAATCTTTACATATGAGCCTAATGGTTAAAACAGTTCACTGTCACACCTGTCGACATGCACATGAATCTAACAATATTATCATGCAGGACACCCCCTTACGCCCCCCCTCCCCCACCCCATTTTTCCCTTCCTCTCTCTCTCTTTCTTTGTCATTCTACTTGCTTTCACCTTCACACACGCAGACACACACACACACTTACATACACACACACTCGCTGGCATACATACACACACTCATACACACTCTCTCTCTCTCTCTCTCTCTCTCTCTCTCTCTCTCTCTCTCTCTCTCTCTCTGTCTCTGTCTGTCTGTCTCTCTCTCTCTCTCTCTCTCTCTCTCTCTCTCTCTCTCTCTCTCTCTCTCTCTCTCTCTCTTATAATGCATGTGTGCATACACAAACACACACTCTCGCACAAACAACGGTATTACTATCATCCCGTTGCATCATTACGGTTGTGTTTGTTTTGCAGACTACAACTACTGGCAGACGTACAGGTTACCTAAAGCTTCCCACGCATACGATCACCTCTGGCAGACAGAGTGGCCTCGTATTAGAGAGGTGGAAACTGAACGCTACTTAATGGATATGCACGGAATGTTTTACGAGCTGTCTCCTCTGGGCTGGGCAGGCAGTACCTGGGGTCTCCGACCTATCTCACAACACTTGAGGATGATTCCGGACTTCACATCTTTCAGGGGATTTCTGGTGCTGGGTGGCAACCAAGTAAGTTTTCTCAAAGCAGATGAGAAAAAGGCCTATGTGGACTTCCCTTCCTCCTTGGATGTCAAAGTCAAAGGTCATCATCTGTTTATGGTAGACGAAAGTAATATTACTACGACTGCTACAACACTGCTTCTTCTTCTTCTTCTTCTTCTTCTTCTTCTTCTTCTTCTTCTTCTTCTTCTTCTTCTTCTTCTTCTTCTTCTTCTTCTTCTTCTTCTTCTCCTTCTTCCTCCTCCTCCTCCTCCTCCTCCTCCTCCTCCTCCTCCTCCTCCTCCTCCTCCTCCTTCTTCTTCTTCTTCTTTTTCTTCTTCTTGTAGATTTCATACCTGAATGTCTAGATGTCTCGCTTGAGTCTCGTAAATTACTCACTCTGTCTTTTGAATCGTGATTCCTAAAGGTAAAGTTATAGTGTGGTGTTGAGGAAAGTAGCCTATGTTCACTTGTTAATGTTTTAGGCTCACATCAACAAAGAAAATGTGTCAGAATTTTAGAGTTTGCCGTGGCGTTTATGAATAGGCTTTTAGTTTCTGTTGATCATCCAACTTTTAGACCTGTATGCAAAGATTGGAGAAGATTAAACAGAGTGATTTCATTTTACCTTGTTGTGATTTTAACCACGGTCAGATGAAAATGAACAAGCTATTAGAATAGTTTCGACTTCTGTTTGATCAAAAGAGAAATGAAGAAAAGTGAACAATTGTTTAGTAGGCAAGGACAAGTGGTTCAGCTACTCCTTTCCACTGTTCTTACATCATACCTTTTTAAAGATTTAGTCTATAAATTTTTAATCATTTCAAATCCGTCATGCATACTGACAGCAAGATAAGAAACAATTTTTTGTGTTGTGGGTCTTCAGTTATCTACAACTTTAAATAAATTGTCTTCCTTAATAACATCAAGCTGTTTTCCCTGTATTTAGCTTTACCAATAGGTTTATAGGGACACCACCCAGATCCGTAATGAAAATGCTCAATTTTTGTGTTTAAAAAAAAATGCATTAACTCTATTCAGTCATGAACCATTAAAGTCTGACATCAATAAGTTTAATATGTTTTAATACGAATTGAAAAATCTGTCTGCCATGGCTTGTTAATAAACTGAAATTCTATTTTTTAATGTAAGTCCCCTGGTAAGTTAAATTTTTGAGGCTGCAAAAAAATATTTGGTGTATGATAGATCTTCAGTTTATTTAACTTTTGTCCGAAAGGCAACACTGTATTATTTCCATATATATTCATAAATGATAAGTTTTTCACTGCTTTATTCCCTTTCATGGTAATACTTCTTCTGCCTTAAAAGCGTTAAAACCTTGCTTTCTGCTCTACACTCACAGTAATGTAAGCATAGGTGACATTATTTGCAGACAGGGAGCCAAGTTTAAGAGCAAGAAATGAAATGGTAAAAGAAGAATATATGTAGAAAATTGCAAGTTGTTTTTCCTTTATTTGAGTATGTTTTCTCACACAAGGTCACCTGGAATGGTTTACAACCACAAACCACTTATACCTCAAGGGACACTTGAGATATCGTTTAAACAATTTCAGGAGTTATTGTACCTTTTAACCTTGGAGATAAGGATAACCTATCTTCAAAATATGCAAATATCTTGTCAGGGCAATAGATAAAATTCTTGAAGTATATCCTGAGTTACAGCGATCAAGAAGATGAAAATATCTTTACTTATTGTCTTTGTCTTTAATGTTACAGATATCTCTTGTGTTTTTAGTTTGAGCTCAAAATATTTTGTATGCTTGTGAAAAATAAATTTGTTTTGTGGGCGAAGAGAAAAAGGATGAATCTGTATTTAGAATTAAAACTATGTCTTTGAAACCACTATGTGTAAGTCAGCTAAGTAATGGGGGGGTTGTGTGTGTGTGCGTTTGTGCATGCATGTTTGTGTGTGTGCATGCGTGCACGAGTGTGTGTCTGTGTGTCTCACTGGGACTGAATTAGAATGTTAATGTGTTTTAGGGAAAAAGGACTTCATTTGTCACGGTGGGGATATTTCTAGTCGTGTTTTGCACGTCATGTTTGTGTCCTTTAAAGCTATCTTTTTTAAAAAAACCCGTTCTACTTTAGTCCATTTTCACACTCTAGCTCCTCTTTTGAAAGGTACCTTTGGATAGAATGCTCTTATGTGATATCATCCATATTGCTCCTCTTTCTTTCCTATGTATGGTATTCTCTAGTAACACCTGTAGTTTTTGACACTTTTATGATCTATTTGTGTGACAAGTACTGTTAAACTCTTACTTTGTGGGTGGTTGGAGGGTGCTCTGTTGTGGTTTGCTCCTTTTTTACTATCAAACATCTATCATCCTTATCTCTCCTCCTTTTTTTTGTATTTTTACTCACTTGTTGCAACTCTAATCTTCAGCATTCATATGACCTTATTGTGTCGCAAGTGCCATAAAACTCTTACTGAAACCAACTCTTACTATAATAAACTAAACTAGAATATAGTGACAGTTGGCCTGTTGGCATTTATTACAAATGTGTCTTCCATTATTTTTGAGTATGTTGCACTCGGACGTGTATATTTAATAGTTATGTTTGTGTTTTTCCTGGATAGGTGGTTTAATATTTTTGTATGTGTTTTACCTGGACAGGTGTCTTCCGTATTTTTGTGTATGTTTCACGTTCTGCTATATTTTTGTATGTATTTCACCTTCTGCTATATTTTTGTATGTGTTTCACCTTCTGCTGTATTTTTGTATGTGTTTCACCTTCTGCTGTATTTTTGTATGTAGTTTTACCTGGACAGGTGTCTTCCATATTTTTGTATGTTGTTTTACCTGGACAGGTGTCTTCCATATTTTTGTGTGTGTTTTTGCCTAGACTGGGGTTTTGTATATTTTTGTATGTGTTTTTACCTGAACAGCTGTCTTAATTTTGTGTGTTTTTCACCTACCCAGGTGTCTTCCATATTTGACAACAATGTGGTCACCGGTCAGGCTCAGTCGGGTTTGTGGTTTGGAAAGACCGATGACCTGTGGAGTTTCGGGAAACCTCAGGCACGGAACTCATGACTTGTTGGTTTGTGTGTGTGCCTCTTGGGCGTCTGTTACTTTTGCCGTGGTGGTGCGGCAGGCTTGCCAACTGTCCCGAAATTCCCGGGACTGTTCCGGATTCGGCAGTCTGGACTTTGAGAGCCTTATCACATACATTACTCGCTACCTTAGAATTACAAAGTTCTACCATCTCAGTACCTAGTTTTGAGAAATTTGATGTAAAAAATTTTTCTTTGAATATCTTGATGACGACTCCATGTAATCTTACGATTTTGATAAAGGAGACAGAACTTTTGGTTTCTGACCTCAGGGTCTTTGAAACGAAAAAGGGCCAAAAATGTCAGACAGAACTTTGTAATTTTGAGGTAGCGAATGAATATCAAAACTAGCCCCACTTAATGTGATATCTTTTCGCTGTTACATTGTCTGATCTTATAACGTTGGGTGTCCCTGATTGGGATTTGAAAACAGCGCTCAACAATTTTTAGGCACATGGAGTTATTGGCATAATCTTAGAGCTGGTTTAGTCGCCTTGCTTTTGATGAAAAAAATTCTCAACTATCCACAATAGATGTTGAGATATTTGCGATTCAAGGAGGTTGGGGTCGCCTGGCGTCTGGGGTAAAATTAGTGAGAAAAGGGCCACCAAAGTTTGGTGACTTTCAAAGCTATAGTACAGTGTCCTTAGAAGCTGCTATGTTACATTTTTTGTGTCTTTGATCAACGTTTTCCCAGTGAATTCCACACAGAAATGTGTTTTTAAATGGACATAAAAGGTGTTGAGCCCAAAACAAAATTTTCGATGAAAGTTACCAGGGAATGGAAAAATGTCGGTTTCTTTGATTTCATTATTTTGACAAGTGCCTGATCACCACCATCTCCATTCAAAACAACTAGAATTTACATGATTTTTAAATTCAGATTTCATCCAGTAAATATTGTCGAACCAGTTCAAGACAACGGCCCATTGTTGAGGGGAAAAGTGGTCATTTCAGACAGGTGGTCTTCTTGGACAGTCTCAGGTTTTTTTTAGTAGAGGTTTTACGGCTCTCGCAACTGCATATAAGGTCATATGAGCGCCAAGGGGTGGATGTCAACAGAGAAGTCCTTACAGGGAGGGAATCAGACTTACTCTGCTCACCTCTCAAGCTTCAACAGCACAAAGTCTGCTTCAACTATCAAGGCTCCCCGGAAATAGCGGGTCGCAAGAGTGTGACAAACATACAAAAGAAGGAGAGGAAAATGACGGTAGTAAGGATTAAGATAAAGAAAAAGCAGCAGTTCCCTGTTGTAGTTCAGGCACAGTTATGAGCATGACATTGTTGGATCAGCCCATTTACAATTCTACTGTGCATGAGAACGAGAAATCTGCCGTTGTAAGGGAAAACGACGAATAGTCAAAATTTTTCGATTTTTTAATTTTTATATATATATTTGATAGAGTATTTAATTCTGCATCTGATGGTGTAAGATTTTTGTCATATCTTAATCCGTTGTTGCGTAATTGAGAGTTCGTCGTTTTCCCTTACACTGGCAAGCTCCGAGCCAGAGCTCAGTGTAAAGGAGAACGACGAATGGTCGATCGGTCAAGGATAACTGCTCGTTCGGCGTTATCCCCTTGTCTCTGCCGTTGGGCAAATTCGGCATGGGAGACAAATGACAATTGGTCACTGTTGCTTCAGTACAAACATACTAGGTTTTTTGCAAACAAATTCACCACCACTCCCTCCACCGGAGTACCGTCGACCAGGTTTATTAGAATGTATCACTTAGTGTGTCTTTCAGTCTGTCTTCACGTATTAGGCCTATGCTGATGTGTGAATTGACAAGAGCAGGCGGGAGAGGGGGAAAACGGATGGGAACAGGGGGAAAGGGGTGGGGATGGGAGGGTCAAAAAAGTATTTAGGGAGAAATTTATTAGCACTGCATATTAGTGTCCGCCAGATGTTCACAGACTAACGTCATGTTAATTTGCTGTCCAGCCATTTGACATCCTAAATCCCAACGCAGGTTATAGTGCCGCAATTTGTCTAGCTCGTGTCACTGGTCGACATCATAATAAAATTACCTAGCAATCAATGACACTGTGTTATGAGAGTAAAATTCTTTGTCAAACTTAAAACGTGGAGGTACTGTGGTGACACTTAGTCTTGCTTTACGATTTTTTATGACTTGATGAACGTTACGATCGAGTTTAATAATGTCTTGCAGAATCAAACTGTCCTAGTCGATCTCTACTTTGTGGTATGTTTTCTGATCCGATCAACTGAATCCTTTGTAAAATACAAAGCGTCGCATTACCTCTCCGGAAAGCGTTTGTGATACAGTCTTGTCAGATTGTTACATTTCTAGTGAAAGTTTGACTTTGCAATGATCTGATCATATTATTGACGTTGTAACATTGTTGATCCCTTTGGTTGTGCAGGGAAAATTTTGCAATTAGCGAATATAAAAGTACAACTCGTTTCTTAAGAGAATACAATAAAGAGATATCATGGAGACCAAACTTTGGTTCCGAATGAGACAGTTTTAAATCAAGCTGTTGAAAATGTGTACACATTTGATTTGTCCACTGACTCTGTAGTATTTTACCAAGCGAGGAAGGGAAACGAAGGACGTTTACCGAGTTACAGTTGGGATATAACAAACACCTAACCTTATACGTATAATAACTAGTTTGTATACGTCTTATTTTTATTTGTAGTAACCAGTACACAGTTATTACTGTCATTAATGCGTCACAACTGACCGTCGCCTATGCCCATAAACGTTCACGAGTGTAAAGGAGAATGACGAACCGTACCATTCGTCGTTTTCGCTTACATCGCAGGGCTCACCTGCGGGTGGGCAATGTAAGGGAGAGCGACGAATGTCGAATAACTTTGCTACTTTTTAACCTAAAACATTCAAACTTTAGAAACTGCTTTATGAACACCTTAACTAGATATCTGGAGAATTACAGCTTAAAAGAATGAAAAATAGAAGAGTTATAAAGTGAAAACAGTTTTTGCCTCTCCTGAAAAATTTGCCTCACTACCTGCGCAGGACCATTCATTGTTTTCCCTTACGACGGCAGAAATGTCCCCCCTTTCGGAATGGCCTAAAGACACTTCAGTCAGTGGCACCACCCAGGGGGGGGGGAAGGTGGTCTCATTATGAATTATGATATGATATAATAGAACAAAAAAGGAAGGAAGGAAGTGGGAAAATGTTTGTTTGTACGGATGATTAAGTTCCACTGTGTGTTAGTTTGTGTGTTGTTTACACTCTAGTACCCATTGGTTCATATTTGAACCATGTCATCCACATTTGTATCTTGTATTTGCTTTGTTGTGATTTTTGTTTGTTTGTTGTTATTTGTTGGGGGGGGGGGTTCCTTTTGGGAAAAGAGGGGGGGGGGGGGGAAATATTGTCAAATCAGTAAATTGACATCAAATATTTCTAATTTATATAACAACAGCGGAGAAGGTCATAACATTCATACGAATATTTCTTGTTGAAGGCTCTAGAGGGTTAAAATGGTTAGATGTGTAATCCCGATTTAATGTTTGCCGTATTTTCTCCTATACAGGGATGGGGGGCTGTGTGGCGATCAGACCTGGTCTTTAACAAGAATATCTCGGATCCCTATCTGATGACGGGCTTTGATAAGAAGGTGGTACATGTCATGACTCACGACTCTTGTGATCAGGCAGCGTTTACCATTCAAGTGGATGTTTCTGGTGCTGCAGGTAAACATAAATGATTGTGTCCAGCTTCTTCCAGTTTTTTAAAAACAATATGTGGGCAAGCTGTCCAAATGTTCTAAACGCAGAAAGCAATATTCTTCAAGAGAGAGAAAAAAAAGCCTGTTTCCTATTTTAAAAATAATTGTAACTGCTATGTATCTTTTCTTGCCTTTTTCAACGTTAAGAATTTTAATTTTGACAAAATATTTCTTGAGAACATACGGCCAATACCACAGATTAAGAAACTGCAAAACAAAGTAACCAAAAAAGTTTAGGCTTAATAAACTGGAACAGCTTGCTGTAAGTCGTAAGATGCTTTGGAAACGACCGTGTCACAGTGGAGAAAGGACTGCCCCTGCTTGTGGTACCTTCCATGCTCCCACCGGAAAAGAAGTAATGGTCATTGCTTGCAGCTTGAGTTACAAAGGCAATGCGGTTTTTTACTCTCAATCACCACTCATTTAGTACATGTACTCATGTTGAGTGTGTACACACGTACAAACGCACACACACGTGCGCACACATGCACTAGAGCTGGGTCACGAGCGCGAGAGCGGAACTGAATCGCCACTCTTCCCTGCGGAACGCTTTTCGTGATTCACTTCAGCGGAAGGTGGAACAGCATCGCCTTCCGATTCCCGATTCACTCCCCTGTCACTGTCAGCACCATGCGGCTTTTTTGTAGCTCTATCTGATTTGTAGGCCTAGTGCTACTCGTATGTCGCGAGTGCAAGAACGGAGCATGGAACGGAACACTTAGCACGGCTTCCCTTATTTTACAAAAGATCGTATAGTCCAACCTCCCTATTAAAACAAAATGAACGGATACCAACCGATAGACAGAAGGAATTTTATGGAGCCATTGTTTTAGCGAATCATGGGGTGTGTGTCGGGGGGGAGGGGGTGAATTTATGGGGTCGCTAATTGAGGTCAGTAGTGGGGCGCAACAAAGGGTGGAGGGGGGGAGATGGCGGCTGAGACGTCTCGATTGTGGTGCAACAAGAGTGGGACTTGTGAAGTGGCATTGGTATGACACTGTTCCGTTTCATGCTTACAACGAGCCCGAGAATCGGTGTTCCAAGAGAGCTTGCGTACTCGCGATTCTTTGAAGCTGACTGGGTCGCGAATCGCCACTCTCAGATTTGGCGAGCAGGATCCAGCTCTTACATGCATGCATCCATACCCACTCACTCATGTTGTGTACGCACGTGCGCACACACACACACACACACACACACACACACACACACACACACACACAAAGATATTATCACAAGCAGACTGAAAGACAAAGGTCTTTTTAAGGGTCTGTTGTGAAGAAAGAAAAAAATACTGCTTGCTGCTTGTATTGGATAGCAAAAAAAACCCAGTATGTAAGCAGACTCGCAGCCTTTCGGGGTAATTTAGATCACTGTTTCTTTGCTTTGTTGTATTATAACACCAAATACTGTACACCATGAAAAAGTTCAACTTTTCCTCATTACACCCAAGCTTTCAAATGCTTTGAGGAAAGATTGATGATTAAATGCTTTGTTTTCATCTGTGGAGAATTATAGAGCTTTGAATGATGTTTCCGATGGTATAATTTTGTCCATTGTGGTGTGAACCAAAAGCCTTTATAATTTTAAATATTGTCAAAGTTGTTTTCAAAGATATTTTTTTTACATGACATATATATATATATGTGAAATACTTACTTAAAAACAGCACCAGTAGAAAGATCAGTTCATTTTTTATTAGAATCAAGTCTCTGGCCTGGGGTTATTTAGCATCGATCCTTCCACGAAATTCCGAAAGTATGTTGTGACCCCAACACAGGGAGCACTCAGTGCATTGCAGTATAGAGCCGATTGTTCACAGCAGGGACTGATACAATACTGGGCGGGACAAAGCCTAGTGTTTTTGTTGAAAAAATGACAAATCTGCATGTTTCAGGCAATAAAATACTGATTTGAAGTGATCTCGAGGTCTTGAACAAAATTAAGCTCCATCATGTCTATGATACTGCAATTCTTCTCTGTTAATGTGTAGATTTTTGCTGCACTTGGTACTGTTTATTATCTGTCCTCAACAGGGTTCCTGCGACCTCCTTGAATTCAAGGAAAAATCTCCTTGAAATCTCTTTGATTTTGAGGAACCTCCTTGGAAACACCTGGATTTTCGCTGGATCGGACATGGACAAAATTTTTGTCGGAATATCGAAACTACGATTCCTTTCGGACAAGTGTAGACCTATCGGAAATAGGCTTTCGGCATGAATTTCTTGACCAAATCTCTGTGAATTTTGAAAGTTTCTCTTTGAAACCTCCTTGAAATCGCCTTGAATTTGGTGGGGAGTTCATGCAGGAACCTTCTGTCAAACGTGGCCTTGCTGCCAATAAGAGAATTTTGTAATATTTTTATTACATTATAATAGCTGCCATTTTCTTCAAAATAGACTGAGAGGTAAAACGATGGTACCAAAATTCGCAGAAGACATAGCCTTTTTTATGGAATAGATACATTTTTCATATATATAGCTACCGCTACTTTAAAGTTTTAATTTCCGGTACCTATTTGTATGTTGACAAGAGAGAGAGAGAGAGAGAGAGAGAGAGAGAGAGAGAGAGAGAGAGAGAGA